GAATGTACCCACTAATACCCACTAATCACTTAGATTACCTATTACAGTCTAGAAACAATTAACATAAGATATACACTATGAAGGGTAACAATAATTTACTTACCTATCCTGAATGGAGTATCCTCAGTAACAATGTTGAGTTTGAATACAGGTATAATTATATTTATTTGTTATATTGATGAAAATAGGTAGTAGGTATGATAAAATAAATACTTGATTAAATTAAAAACAATGATATCGGAATGTTAGAAGCCGGAACAACACGCATTCGCGGGAAGACGAAAAAGATGACGAGTCGCCAAGGCAGGATCTGGTGCCCGAATGAATGGAGGAGTCACTTATGAGAAAGGAAAGGGGAAAATAGTGGAGTGGTGTTGTCCGATTCTCGTTATCATGTTTTATTATTATATGAGATATTTAACTATACTATAATACATACTATTTGTATTAATCTAAATTGACTTATAAACTAATAAAATGAAGTGGTGTTCACAATTATAAAATGTAGTGTAGATAATATAATATAATATAATATTATATTATGACATATACCATATTGTATATATCATTACACAACTCCCTTCTGATCCTCTTATAGAATGCTAATGGTTAAAAAATCATGAAGATGAGCTTCTTTTTACTTTCCAAGACAAAAGAATTGTTCTCATTTCACAAATAACTACTTTCTTCACCTGCTAGGCTTTCATTTGCATCAAGCCAACCATCTAGACAACACTGCTCACGCAGGTGCTGCTATCTATGTTAGGTCTTCTCTCACATCGCATTCGCTCCCAATATTCCAAATTGACAATATACAGTCATGCGCAGTATTCATAATAGTCGAAAATATACCTTTGTCAATAGCAGCCATTTACTGTCCTCCTAAACACAATATAACCAATTTAACCTTTTTTTTAATACTCTCGGCTACAACTTTATAGAAGGTTGTGATATAAACTCTAATCATATATAATGGGTTGTCCGGTCACTTATCCTCGAGAAAGTTGACTTAAAAGTCATCTCATCATCTAACCCCACATACTGACTAACAACTATGAGAAAACGCTTGATATATTAGATACATTAATAAAATTCCCACCACAATCTACTCTTCAATTGTAAACACCCATGCCCCATATTCAGATTACTCCCCCTGTTCTGCTCTCAATAGACTGTCTGCTTTTGTCTAATCAATGTAATCCAACTCCGTTAAATACTTACGTCAACTGGGATAACTTCCATAAATCAATTCTACAAAAAACCACTCTAAAAGTCAACCTAAAAACAAACAATGATATTGATGAAGGTGTGAATCTTTTTACATTTAATATTCAAACTTCGGCATGGGAATCAGCTCAACCCTGGCAATCACGCAAACCATACATGATCATTCCCTTATATATTCGTAACCTCATATCGTAAAAACACCATGCTCGCTGTCTATGGCAAAGAACAAAATATCCCGTTGTTAAGTGCCAATACAATGCGCTTGCGCAAAAACTTAAACGGACCCTAGCTACAGAAATTAATCTTATACTAAGTATTTAGAATCACTCATGACAAAAGATGGTTCTCTCTGTAAGGCTACCAAACAGCTTCTTTGTATACGAAATCCTCCAGCTATTTTACGTAATGCTAACGGAAACTGGGTATACTTTGACGAGGAAAAAGCTAACTTATTTGCAAACCATCTCGCTGAAACTTTTCAACCGCATATTACCATTCTCCTCCCAGAAAAAATGAACATAGTTGAACAATTCCTCAACTCATCATTACAAATGTCCTCTTTAAAGCATATCTCTCCTGCTGAAGTTCAATACATAATATCCAAACTCCCTCGAAAGAAATCCTCTAGCTTTGATTTAATAACTTTAGAAATATTTAATCAGCTTCCGAAAAAAGTTATCGTACTTCTGACCTACATATTTAACTCAATACTTCGACTTTCCTACTTTCCTATTCTATGGAAGTATTCCATTTTCATATTCATCCTCAAACCCAAGAGACCACCTGACTCTTCATCTTCATATAAACCCATTAGTATACTCTATTCCCATATAGTCTAAGGTATTTGCAAAAATATTACTAAAAATAATCTTAAATATCATAGAAGAAAAAAAATCCTACACGACTCGCAATTTGGTTTCCACAGTAGGCACTCCACAATCCATCAAATTCATCGAATAATTGATATAATTTCACTTTCTCTTGACGAAAAACAATATTGCACTGGGGCCTTCTTGGACGTTTCCCAGGCGTTTGACCAAGTCTGACATGCGGGACTTCTATTCAAATTGAAACTCATCCTCCCATCTAATTACTACCTTATATTAAAGTCCTACCTAGAAGATCGTTTTTTCTCGGTACGTTATGGCTCAGCTACATCTTCAACTAAACCAATCAATACAGGTGTCCTCCAAGACGCCGTAGTCACTGCTCCCCTGCTGTTCAATATTTTCATATATGACCAACCCACGTTACCCACTAGTCTCGTCGCTGGCTTTGACAATGACAAAGCTCTTACAGCCAATAGCCATGACCCATCCATTGCTTCCTCATACATCCAAGATCATCTCTCGCTCTTCGAAAAATGGTACAAGGAGTGAGGAGTGAAAATAAATGAGTCTTAATCGATATGCTGTACCTACCCAGTTCTACCCCTAAACGTGCAAACCCTACCAACCGCGCAGAGCAATCATTACTCAGGCATCGTTATTGATCAACGTCTTACCTGGTCTCCTCATCTTCGCAACAAACTTCTATTCTTAAACAACCGTTTTCGTCTTCTTCGCTCCCTCCTAATTTCCAGCCGCATACAATTACCAACCAAGCGTCCAATATATAAACTCTATATCAAGCCAATGTGGACTTACGGAATCCAATCATGGGGTTCTGCGAAAATTTCAAACATAAATCGTATTCAGCGCTTCCAATCCAAAACCCTTCGTGCTATTGTTAAGGCACCATTCTATATTTCTAATCAGTCCTTATATAATGATCTTGCTATCTCACCCGTTTGCGATGTAGCTAAAACCTTTTATAGACGATTCAACTTAAATGTTTAAAACCGGTGCAATCCCTTAATCAATGGACTAGCTTTTGTTAACTCACCTTGTTACCCCAGGAAACGATTAAAAAGACTGCGGTATCAGGTCCTATTAATCTAGTCAAAATTCTAAATTGTACATAATACTATTGTGAATACATGGATCTATGTATATGAGTAACTGTTAAAGTGTCTTTACTGGAATGCTGCTTTAATCCGTTTTTTTTCAAGCCATAAATTCATTCATCTCTTTTACTTATTGTTCTAGTAACAGATTGAAAATTGTATTAAATAAAAAATAAAAATAAAATATCTGGAAGCACCGATAAACCGTTGTTAACTTTTTTTTTGATTAGAGTAAGATTTTTGGTAAAAATTTTGTTCACAGACAAAAATAAAAATACATCATAGTACAATCATATATCGCTAGTATTCATTACACCTCTCCGCTTTTTTTTTTTCAAAAAAAAATTTGTATTATAATATATGCGTTAAACAATTATTGATTATTTGTGAAAGTGAAAACTCCCCCCTTGGATTCGCCACTATTTAAGCGTACTCGTACACCTATTATGTTTTAAATTAAATGAACGCTCTTTACCAGTTTATGCTCCTAATTTTTCTGATTTTTTTTTTTGACACCTAAAACGTACTTTTCGATTTTTAGCGGTATACGCCCTTTTAACAAAACGCCATCGATATATTATTGTATTATTATAGGCATACGCGTGGGCATCGAAAAACTCTGTGATTGCGAGCATAAGGAAGTGAGCCTTGGAGGATTCCGCTCCCAACCTAACCTAAACGAGTTTTTGTTTCAAAGACCGTCGCCTCCCGTGCCAAAAGCACGCGCGAGCGCACGCTTATGACTGTAAATAATGGGTACCTATAATAACAGTTACGATCAAAATATCATTCGAACGAAACCTGCGCATTATTAATTGAACCGAAACGCCTTTAGAGATACATTCAGAGGGTACGTCACCGATTAATATAAGCGGATATCAGATTCCAGGTTACCGCGACCATAAGCACAACTAGGGGGTGCTAGGGGGTCTTTAGCACCCCAAAAAAACTAGGATCAGGTTTTTCATAGTGTCGACTAAATGTTTAATCCATGAATTTCAAAATTTACGAACAGAATTAAATGTAAGCATAGGTTTCCCGCAGACAACGCACGCGTGTACACAAATTAATGTTAAAACATAGTCGCGATAAATGTGTACATAGAAAATTGTAAATGAAAGGTGCAGTTAGCTATTGTTAGAGTCATGCAAAGGGGATTGTGGGGGCGTAGCCCCCGCGGGTCTTTGACGTGTTCGCAATGTTAGCATCGCCCGCCTCCTCCCGGAGGGTTGGTGGTCTAGTTGCGCTTATGACGGCCACGACTTTTCCCAGCGATTACCAACGGATTTCCTACGAGAATACGTACACGACTTTCACGATTATCAAAACGCGTGTACACCGATTTCCGTTGGTGATTTGGTACTCCGGTCATTATCATCGCTATTATTAGCCGGCAAAATAATAATGTTCGCAAACCTACGCGGCGAGTATAACACACGGTAGGCGGATCCGGTCGCCCGTTGTCGGCGAGCGCGAGGCCTGGCCGGGGCCCGGGTCGACGTGCGCGTAGCGTCGTCTGCCGCGGCCCGTTCGCCTACGCAATAACAATATACTCTACCCGCGCAGGCATACCCGCGCGTCGTATTGAAAACCGTGGCCTGCGTGTCTCGGGCCGCCATACGGTCGACGATGGTTACAACGCACGGAGTTTTCGTCGGCACAGTGGGGAGCGCGCGTTGAAACGGAGCGGGGAGAGGTGAAAAAAACGGAATCGCACGCGAAAAAAAAATCGCTCGACGCTCGCACGCGCGCGTCAAACGCTGGCGAGGGGCGCGCATGCCGACGTTCGCGCGAGTGAAACCGTTGGTGGCGCGTGCGCGCGCGTTCGCGGACAGGATTAATAACGATATTATTACAATGGCAACAGTATAGCGTTGTTGTTGTCGTTGTCGTAGTAGTAGTAGTAGTAGTAGTAGTAGTAGTAGTAGTAGTAGTAGTATAGTAGTAGTAGTAGTAGTAGTAGTAGTAGTAGTAGTAGTAGTAGTGTAGTAGTAGTAGTGTAGTAGTGTAGTAGTAGTAGTGTAGTAGTAGTAGTGTAGTAGTAGTAGTAGTAGTAGTAGTAGTAGTAGTAGTAGTTGTAGTAGTAGTAGTGTAGTGGACGGTAGTAGTAGTCACGACGACGAGTGTACGGACGCGTTTTACAAACGGCTACTTGCGTGACGGCGGAGCAGCTAACGGGGTCGCCGCCGACCGACGACGGTCCATCGCCAAGCAGTGTCCGGTACAGTGGGAATCGCACAGTTTTGTTGTGTTGCTTTTTTTTTTTTTTCCATTAATCCCCTCTCTCACTCTCTCGTTTGTTTTGTTATCGTTTCTGTCACGGTTTCCTGTCACTCCGTGTCACCCGCGACAGCGGTACAACTACAGTCACAGTAGCCGCGAATCCTCTACAATCGCGACAGCGTTTGACCGACGGGATCGCTTAACCGGTTGATCGGCGGCGTCGCGACGGTCGGGGGCTTGCGATAACACCGTAGTCGTCGCTCTCGCGGTAGACGGCGCTGACAACGCTGTTCGCCGCCGCCGCCGCCGCTGTCGTTGTCGTCGTCGTTCGTTTCGCACCCAGTTGTTCCCGATTTCCCCGTAGGTATACAGTAGAGATTATACATTCGTTCACGGCGTCCGTCCGCCGTCGACGTGTGTGTGTGTGTGTGTGTGTGTGTGTGTGTGTGTGTGTGTGTGTGTGTGTGTGTGTACGTGTGCGCGCGTATGCGTATGTGTTTCCATCGTCAGTCTACGCGCGCGTCAGCGAGTGCGCGACGTCAGTTGTTTGCTACTGCGTATGTGCGCTAGTTTCCGTCCTAGTTACGGGTTTTTTTTTTTGTTTTGTTTTTTTTGTTTTTTTTGTTTTTTTTCCCTAGAGCAGTGGTCGATCGCTGTTCCCCCGGCCGTGCGTCGCACTTGCCACTTTACGCTGGCGACTCGACGTCCCGTCGGCCGTTCGCTCGGGCTCCCCTTTATTTCTTCCCCGACGGTCTTTTATCACTCGACCCAATTTTCGTTCGTTGACATGGTCGTGATCGCCGCCGCCCGGCCCCGGTGTCCCGCGTTCGAAAGCTCTACGACCGCGGTCCGCGCAGCGACCGATGATACACCACTGGTTGCTGGCCGGACGACCACCGTCGCAGCGTTTTAGACGATAATATTGTAATATTGCCGACGGCCTTATTACCGTCGGTCGACACGCCGGTGTGCTTACGTCTCAAAACGCAGCATGATGAACAACGGTTTGCCGAAGAAACGCACAAACCTGCGCATCAAAGCGTTTCCGGTGAGTAGCACCCGATCCGTTAACAATCGCTTTCTGAATTCTTACTCGCTCCCGTCCGTCTTCTTCGCCCAGGTACCTAAGTTGGTTTCGTCCGTCGCCGGCGCGTACGTGCAATTTACTACTATTTATCTACTACTACTACGTTGTGTAACGCGCTGTACCTATTGATTGTCGTGTTTCCGTCCACGGCAATGTCGCAGGACATTTTCTGTCGTCGACCACTGTGATCTGCAGTGATTCACTACGTAGACGCGTTATTACACGACTGGGATGAAACTAGAAGAGAGAAACAAAAAAAAAAAAAAAAAAAAAAAAAACGAAAAAAACATTGCATAATTGGTATTCGGTGGGGGGCGGGAGGTGTAAGTACATATTTAGAAATCAATAATTGCCTCGGGTCATTGGTTATACTAGATAATAGAGCGTACACGTTGTATATAAATCCCCGAGATATTTTGAAATTCTTGTAGTTTTAATCCTGCTGTTACTCAGTATTGTCGGTGCCATAAAATCCGAGTGTGAAGACATCGGCCACAGCACCCGTCCAACAATGTTGTTCGTAGCGTTTGTATAATCAGTACCCAGTATGAATTTATTGAAAAGAAAAAACCATTTGGATATTCACATTTGTTTAATCTATGTAACAGTAGGTATGGTAACTTTAATAAATCCGTTTTTGCATTAATCCTTAGTAATTTTTACCTTCTACCTTGATACCTACCTATAATTATTATAATTATTTTATTGATCGCTAGTAAATAAATTAATCAGAAAATTAAAATTTTAAACGTACGTTGTAAGATACAATATAGGTACCTACATTCAACATTTTTTTTTTTTTTTTATTATTATTTAGCATCCCTCTTTTTAATAGTTGTATTTAAATGTTTGCTGTCCAAACTGTAAGTTAGAACGTTATCAAATTAGACATGTTTAAATTTTAATGTTCAATGATCACCATTTAAGCGCTCGGGTATTTTTTCGTTGCGATACATTTAACTGTTATGTTTATTACATAACAATTATATACCTATTATTTAAATTTTCAATAAAATTAGATCATTGGTACCTAGTATTTTGTTACCTAATGCTTTGATAAGTGCATTGTGTTTCCGTAAGTAGGTACACAAGTTTGTATTAATAATAAACGTTATTAGTTACTTTACATGTAGCCTGTACACTTTTTTGCAATATTATCACAACACTTACCTATCATTTTATACTTATAGAAGTCACAGTGAAAACCTAAGCAAGTACTTTAGTAGATAATACTTGAAATTTACAAGAGTTTACTTAATGTTTTTAGTCGTATTAGCACGTGCCTATCAGTAGGTTACTGTAGACAAGTAGTATTCCGAATATTTTTAAAGTACTTTTCTGAATATTTAAAAAAAAATTTTTTTTTTTTTGAAAGTATTCAATAGTGTATTCTGTATAGTTTTGAAAATTGTTTTATTCCTTATGAAAAAAAAAAAAAAATGTAATTTTAGTTTTTAAATTGGATGTTCAATGCTTAACAATAAGTTATGTTTCTTTTCCTATTGGATATTTATTTATTTATTGAAATAAACATCAAAGTTGGTTTAAGTGCAGTATAATATATATATATATATTAAAATAATAACATAATTAATGTAATAACATATACTATAACTGTATACCACTTTTTGTTAGTAAAAATAATTCAATTATTTCACGTATTAATTTAACAGATTTGAAGTATAATAAATAAGACAGATGAATTCTAATAATTGCATATTTATTTTGCTCAGTCGTAAAATAAGGCCAGTTTGAAAGAAATTAATTTAATGTTACAACAACTTAAGAGCCAAATCTATAATTTTATATTGCTTATTTAGGTTTTTCCTAATGCTTTGTGGGGACTTTTTCAGATTTCTTTTTCACAATTTCTTAAGAAATAATACTTATCAAAATGGAGATTATTAATAAAAGCATAAATTATTTATTTAAAATGTTATTTTTTAGTGTCTGAAGAAGAAATGTCTAAATAGGTGTGTATAAAAAGCAATCAATGCAAGGTATTTCTAATTTTGGCAATTGTATTATTGGGTAATTGTTTTTCTTATTTTAGATGGTTTTAAATAATTCATATTTTTTAATTTTTATCTAAAAAAAATTTGAAAACTTATTTTTAGTGCTTATTTTTGGGTTTTTAAGTGTATAAGTGCTAACTTATTTTCTATTTTTTTAGAGCTACATGTCTCCTGCCCTAATAATAAATAATCATGTTACTTATCATATAGGTAAATCTTTAGTTGCTTTAAGTCATCCAAAAATAGTATTATATTTTTCAAGATCCTGAGCATAGTTAGGAATGATTGGTTTACCAGCATGTGTGTTTGCTAACAACTTTTATACCAGAAATATTGCTCCAATTGAAAACATGATGAGAACTATTTTGTAGCATTTTGGATTTAGTTGGCGCTAAGAAAAACGATTATTTTGTTTTCCAAGCAGTTTTAATAATAATTGAGAAAAAAACTAACAAATTAACCGTGTTTTCGATTTCAGTATTATAATTTTGTTTTTGATTCCAGAAATCTTCTCTGAAATTTCGAGAGTTCACTTCTGAAAGAAAATTTAATCTAGTTGGTGCATTTGGAATCCGAATATTTTTCACAAAGTATTCAGAATATTTTGAAAATACTATTATTGTGATGTATATATTTAAATATTATTTTTTGTATGTAGTCATTTTTATTCTGAATACTTTAAAACTTTTTATAATTAGGTAAATAATTTTCAGTTTCAAAAGCTTGTGATGTAGGTTGTAGTATTATTATTAGTAATATTTTAAATGTTGTGTTAAGATCAATTTCTAATAAAGAAATTAAAATGTTTAAATATATCATGGTGATTTTTGTGTGTTCAGGAAATAAATGTCTATTTAAAAAACACTAGTAAAAGTAGAATTTTTTTATTGGAATAATAAGTAAATATTAAAAAAATAATCAATTCATTTTTTAATCAGATATAAATATTTGAATAATTCTGATAGCCCCATTCTACAGTAAATATTGATCACTAGCTGAATATCTTTGTTACTGTCTATAATATATTTCAAAATCAATTAAACTCCATTATAATTGAAATTCTAATTTTATTGGTATGCCATGCGATAATTAATACAAATAGCAAATGGAAATAAAACCATAAGTCCTAATAAGATATTTAAAGTAACACCCGATAACAACTTTTATTAATGGAACCAATAAATATGTTTGCAACAAAAATATATGTTAAAACTACTGTATATGTTTGATTTTTTTTCAGATGACTATGGATGAGAAATTGATTGACAGTATTTGGGTGTTATTGAAAAATGCCATTCAGGAAATTCAAAAGAAAAACAATTCTGGTCTTAGTTTTGAGGAATTGTATCGAAATGCTTATACCATGGTATTATTGAAACACGGTGAAAAGTTGTATACTGGCATGAAAGATGCTGTAATAAATCATTTAGAGAACAAGGTAGCCACACGCATATGAATTTATATTTTTTTGTCAAATTTAAAATATTATATTTAATATTATTTATAGGTTAGAGAAGATGTTTTAAAAGCCTTAAATAATAATTTTTTACAAGTACTCAATATTGCCTGGAATGATCACCAAACTTCAATGGTTATGATACGTGATATACTGATGTACATGGATCGAGTTTATGTTAAACATAATGAAGTGGATAATGTTTATAACTTGGGTCTCATTTTGTTTCGTGATTTAGTAAGTTAATTAAATATAATTATATACAGGGTGTCGCATATACCCATTATTGTAATAGTTCTGGAGATAATAAGGATAAGGACCTTACAAATATTTATATTGCAATTAATTTTTTATGCTATGATAAAAATCTTAAAAAAAAAACTTTATCTTATTATTTTTGAAAAATCACATTCTCTAATTGATTATTATTATTATTTTGATTAATTGACTGTATACTACTTTTTTCTGAATTTAAAAAATTCTTATTAAATATCAAGAATTTAACGAAAATAAAAAGTTGATACAACAAAATTTTCAGAAGAATAAATTCTATCGGAATAATTTCACGGCTATCTTTAAATTTTTCAAAAATAATAAAATAGTTATTTTTTAAATTTTTTATGAAAACATTAAAATGAATTGCAATATAAATATTTGTAGTCCTTATTCCTGTCTACATTTTATTTTCAAATGGCAATCTATATTAAAAATTCCATATATTGATGAAGTATTGTTAAAATAAATTTTGGTGTTAAAATGTTGGATTTCTGTCAATCTGTTGATTCTACTTTTAAGTTAAGGTTAGTAGATAGTAATGGTACTTCATTTATGTGACAGTATTTTAATATACACTACTACTATCCACCCAAGCTTAAAGTGGAATCAATAGATTGAAATCCAACATTTCATCACCAATATTTATTTCAACTAATATTTCATTAATTATTAAGGGATTTTTTAATATAACTTGTCATTTGAAAATAGCAGGTAGTAGTGTTTTATCCCCATAAAAAAAGGGTGACAAAAAATAACATAAATGTAAAGTTGTAGAGCTACTTGTTCCTAAAATGTGTTCTATAAAACAAATTCTGAAAAAAGTTAGTGCTTTCGGAGATGATAAGTGTCTTATGATAGATTGAACATTATGTATAATATTTAACTGTACTATTATTATTTGTATTATTTTACATATATTCTATATGCTTTTGAATGTATACATCTGTAATAAAATACTCTTTTGATCTTTAGATTGTTCGGTATGGCTATATTCGGGATCACCTTCGTATAACACTGTTAAATTTGATAAAACTTGAAAGGAGAGGTGAAGTTATTGATCGCATATCTATTAAAAATGCTTGTCAAATGTTAATGATTCTTGGAATTACGGGTCGTATTGTTTATGAAGAAGACTTTGAGAAGCCATTTTTGGAACAATCAGCAGAGTTTTATAAAGTATATTTTATTTACAATTAATGAAATGATTATTAAACTTAACTATAATATCTATTTTTTTTTTTTTTGCAGATGGAAAGTCAAAAGTTTCTATGTGAAAACAGTGCATGCATTTACATAAGAAAAGTTGAATCTAGGATTATAGAAGAAGCGGATCGAGCCAAACATTACCTGGATGAGTCAACTGAATGCCGTATTGTAGAGGTTATTGAAGAAGAACTAATTAAAAGGAATATGAAAACAATTGTTGAGGTTAATACAATTACAACATTAATGTATACAATAAATATAATTTTACTAATATATGGTTTTTATAGATGGAAAATTCTGGTGTTGTACACATGTTAAAACATAATAAAATTGATGATTTATCTTGTATGTACAAGTTATTAAATCGTGTCTCTGATGGTTTAAGAACTATGTCCGATTGTGTTAGTAACTATTTACGTGAATTGGGAAAATCACTTGTACAAGAAGAAGATATGAATAATAATGCAGTTAGCTATATTCAAGTAATTTATTTTAATTAACAATAATCAAAAATATTTGCAATTTTTTTTCTAGAAATAAATTTATATTTATTATATATATATATATGTATATATACTATCTAATAATTGTAAAAATATCTTGCTATTTTATTTAATAAAAATACAGTATTATTATTGTTATTCATATTTCTTTAAACTTATGTATTTATATTTCAGAGTTTACTGGATTTGAAAGATAGATTCAATTTTTTCTTGATTAATTCATTTAACAATGATAAGATGTTTAAACAAATGATGGCTGCTGATTTTGAATATTTTTTCAACCTGAATTCTAAATCTCCTGAATATTTATCTTTATACATTGATGAAAAATTAAAAAAAGGAGTGCGTGGGGTAATAATAATTAAAATTTCTTTTATTTAAGTGTTAATAAATTATTGTACTTTTACATATTTGGATTGTGGGTGTTTTTCATTTATAAACATTTCTGTTTACTGATTCTAGTTAAGTGAAAATGTATTATATGATTTAATTATAGCTAATTTGAGTATTAAAAAATAACCATATGTTGGCTGTCTATTAGTATATGATATTGAATGAAAAATTCATGTAGTTATCAAATTTTATTTTTAAGTAAACATAATGGAAAATATTTTTGTTAAAGTTATTTTGGATTAAAAAGATAAAATTGTTCTGTTTTATTGCAAAATAAATCTACTTTTTAAAAAACTTAACATATCTATAAATAGTAGAAATGATACACTCTTTTACATCAATTTTAATTTGCTAAATATTTATATTGAAATTTTATAAAATGAAAGAAATAAATAAATAATTAATTAAAAATTGAATACCACATCATGTTTTAAAATATTCAAAACCTTAAAATGGCAAACTAGATTTTAAGCACACAGTTAGCTCTCAATGAATCATCAAAATTATTTAGAAATTTAAATTTATTTATTTTTCTTAACCTTTGCTAGGTAATAATTAGTGAATATCTAATTTAATTACAAGATAATAATCTTTATTCTTTAAAAATGTAAAACATGCTAATAATCATCTTTATAAAAAATACATACAAATTACTATTCCATTTATTATTATTATTATTTTTTTCATTATTTAAACATTTCAATTTCTGGTTAACTAAAATATTTCTTTTAGATTTTGGATAAATTTGATTGTTTATTTTTTATATCTATTCTATATTGGGATTTTGATATTTTTAATTTATTTGGTTTTGTGTTTGGTTGAGGTGTACAGCTTTGACTTAAATAAATGACTATATTGAATGCTTTTATAAACTAATCAAATTATTGATATTTCAGTTAACTGAAAATGATATAGAAATCGTTTTAGACAAATCAATGGTCATTTTTCGGTTTCTTCAAGAAAAAGATGTATTTGAAAGGTATTATAAACAGCATTTAGCCAAGAGATTACTTTTAAATAAATCTGTCAGCAATGACAATGAAAAGAATATGATCTCAAAACTTAAGGTAATTTTTATTATTTGTAATATAATTCAACAAATATAACTTAAATAATACTATAGACTGAGTGTGGCTGTCAATTCACTTCAAAACTGGAAGGCATGTTTAAAGATATGTCTATATCTAACACCCTTATGGAAGAATTTAAGGAATATGCTGTTAGATCTAACTGTGTAAGTATTTAATTATTTGTATTACAATAAATTACTCATCTTAGATGTCTTTAAATAAAATTATTTTAATTTAATTTTTGTAGCCATTCTTACACTTTTTGGATCTTACCGTGAGAGTTTTGACTACAGGATTCTGGCCTACCCATTCTTTATCCAAGTGTAATATACCATCAGTTCCTAGAAGTGCTTTCGATGAATTCAAACTGTAATTATTATTTCTTAATTTACATAATATTTGAATTATAATTCAAGTTTATAATTGAACCTTTATTATTAAATAGATAAAAATAAAAATGATTTATTGACTCCAGCTCACAATAGGTGTGTTTTGGGGATTAACCTGGTTGTATTTTTAATCAGACATGGTTAGTGATTAAACATTTCTAAAAATGATATGTTTATAATTATTAAAAATAATGTTAATTGTTAATAGACATTTAAAGCATTTATACTTTTTACTGTGTTTAAAGGATAGAGGTAAGTTTAAAGTTTACCTATTATCCTGAATTATTAATGTATACCGGAAATAGCATTATTTAATCTGCTGTAGCTGTTAAAACAATTAGATACTAAACATTTATGGTTATATTATAATTTGAAAAAAAAAAATAATTTTCAATGGAGTAAGTTAATTATTGCATAAACATTATCATTAGAATAAATTTTCTGTCTACTCATCAAAACAAAATTTAAAAATGTCCCCACTTGATCTAAAATTATAAAATAGGATTATTCAAAAACTAAGATGAATTTTAAACATACAAAAAAAAAGTACCGGTTATAATGTATCTATATTCATTGTTTTATCAATAGCCAACCATCATAACTATTATTTTTACTAGGTTATGATATTTCAGTAACCAATGATTTGTTTATAAAATGCAATAACCCTGTTACCATTTGGTTATTCCTTAAAACACCCCTAATACTATATTTATAATTTTTTTATTAACTATAATGCTAGTTACATTTGTATAGTCTTATTTATATAAGATATATATTATATATTTTGAAATATAACAAAAACAAATGTTTTTCTTTTATAATATTATCTAGTAATTTACATACAGTTTAAATATTAGATATATTACAAGTTGCATAAATATTCTTATATTTTTTAAATATAAAGATTTTACTTGAGTAAACACAATGGACGACAATTAACATTGCAACCTCAACTTGGGTCAGCTGATTTGAATGCTGTATTCTATGGTACTGGACGGTCAGATATGGAAATGTCAAAGCATGTTTTAGGGGACCAATTGCGTGGTAGAAATACTAATCGTCAATTGGAGCGAAAACACATAATTCAAGTATCTACTTATCAGATGTGTGTGCTTTTGTTGTTTAACACACGAGATAAATTAACTTTTGAAGTAATTTATTTTTAAAAATGCATTCAATAATGTATTGTGTTTTAATAATATTATTTATTATTTGGTCATGTGTTACATTTCAGGATATTTTAAGTGAAACTGATATTCCCGAAAAAGATTTAATTAGAGCTTTGCAATCCTTAGCATTGGGAAAACCCTCACAGCGTATACTTTTAAAAACTCCAAAGTGTAAAGAAATTGAGTTGAATCATGAATTTTGTGTAAATGAGATGTTTTCATCCAAATTGTATAGGTTAGTGATAACATAATATGATTCATTATGTATGTACTATACTTATGAAACCATATTAACTGAAATTAAAATGTATTAATTTTAGGGTAAAAATTCAAACTGTGGCAGCTAAAGGTGAAACAGAACCAGAAAGAAAAGAAACTAGAAGTAAAGTAGATGAGGATCGTAAACACGAAATTGAAGCTGCTATTGTACGTGTTATGAAATCTCGGAAAAAGATGACTGTGAGTAAAAAACATCTATTAATATTTCTACACATGATATTTATACTATGACATACATTCAATTCTTTAGCACAATACCCTTGTATCAGAGGTTATTGATCAACTTAAAGTGAGATTCTTACCTTCCCCAGTCATCATCAAGAAGCGAATTGAAGGATTAATTGAAAGAGAATATCTCTCAAGGTCCTTAGAAGATAGACGAACTTACATTTATGTTGCTTAAAATGTATTTAAATAAATATATATTTTAATATGTGTATAAAGAAAGTCTTCCTATGTTTGTGAGATTTACAAAGTTAAATACATTGAATTAGGTGGACATTGTTCCTATTTCTATAAAAAAACAAAAAAAATCAAGAATAAATGTACTAAGTATAAAGTCATTTTATAATCTAAGTGCAATTTGTTATTCAAATATTCTATAAGGTTAGAATATTATTTAAATAAGTATTATTAAAATTGTAAAAAAACATAGGTGCTACATTGTAAAAAATAATAAAATGTATTCTTTATTACATGTTTAAAGAGATGTGACAATGATTAGTAACTGATCATTATCAACTTTTGATGTTGGTATTCTATTTTAAACTCCCTTTAGGTTTGTATTTTAAGTATATATAATGCATAATGTATTTGTTCTCAATGTAAATATGTAATCATCAAACTAACTCGAATTGTCGTTTATTTCGGGACAATCTTTACTACACTATATATTAAATTAATAATATGTGTTCTTTTCAAGCTTAATTATAACTTATAAAGTATAACCAATAATAATAATCCCCCTATAATTAAGATTTTTTTGCATTATAAAATAATTATTAAGTACTTATTCTATTTTATATTACCATATTACGACCATACCTATATTTCATATAATTTGAACCCAATTTATATCTAATCATCGTTTATTTTTGGTGTTCATTTTATACATATTTTATAGTACAGTAAAAATTGGTTATAGTGACATCATTATAATAACCTTTAGACTATATATAAAAAAAAATTGTTATAATTTATACTAACATTTATTTATTATATATTTATATCATTTATGTAATTTGTACCTTTAAGTAATATGTATAATAATAATAATAGTTTATGAATTATGCAATCTCATCTAGCTATTAAATTTATAAAATTTATGTAATTTAAGTACATATTATTATAAATATCTTGAGTGTTTCACTAATCATTGATTTATTTCAAAGAAAAGATTATTTTGATTAATAATCTACTATTGATGTTATTTTAAAATGAAAATATAGCTTTGTATTAAATTAAATAATCATTGTCATGCAAACATTATCTCTAAATATTACAATAAGTGTGATGATAAACTAAGTTCTAGAGAACATTTTTTTTATTATTAGTAAATGGAACAGTAGATAATAGTGTTAAGTGTTTAGTTTTATAATAATAAAAATCAAGTATAAAACAAACTTGTAGAAACTAAAATAATTTTTACCTTTTTTTAATGTAATTTGTAATATTTTTCCACAATATGTATTATAATAATTGATTTTTATTGTACTTACTTAAGCCACAATTTGCAATGTCTCCAAAATACCTAAATTATTAGGTAGGTATTTATTTTTATTTTTATTTTTTTATGTATATATAGGATGTTCTACTAGTTCTAGTTTTATATCTCTGTAGTTAGATTTTCTTCTGATATATAGGGAAAAATTTAATTTATATTATCACTTCTTAAACACTAGATAAATATGTATAACAATTTATTCACTTTTTTTAATTTTACACATAACAAATGTGCATTAGATATTCTAAACATTTTAACTAAACTTGCATACATATCCAATTAATAGTTCCTTAGTAATAGCTTTAATTTCTAGAGAAGGGATGTAAAAAAATATTCAAAAGACTACCACATTGTGTGGTAGGGAATAACAATCATAACTGTCAACTGATAACTATTTGTAAATTAAGCTTGTTCTCATTTTATTTTGTACCACTATATGACAATACAACTATTGTGTTAGAATTTTAAACTCGCTATTACTAAAAAACTTGATCAAATACAAATTGTTGGTACATTAAAATTATTAGAATAATATATTTTACAAGATAAATATTTTAAGAAATTAATAAATAGGTTTTTTTTTTTTTTTGGTTAGGAAGTGAAAATAATAAAAATTAAATTTCATTTAAGGGACACATGTATGGATAAATATGTGTCCCTTAACACAAAAACTGATAAGAAAATCCCAAAATTTAATACTTGCAGAGGTATGAAAATAGAACACAGTAGGACATATATATATATATAAATATAACAATTAATTTAATTTTGTTAATCTCAGCAAATCTTAAATTTTAAAACCTCGAAAATTGTCTAAGCTTCATTTGGGCAAAAAGGCAATTTTCTTTTTTGCTTCCAGTTATTTCGTATATTAATTTAGAATTTTTGTTTAAATGTTCAAATGTTTAAATGTTTAAATTGTATGCAGTATTATCATTTGGTTGCTTAAGATGGATTTTTGTTTAAATTATAATTTGTGTAAGCAGTTTAAGCCTAAAAATATTGATAATTTAGTGGTTTTTGTATCCATTGCAATTGTAAAGAAATTAGGATATAGATGTTAGAAAATGAGATAGGAAATGTTACTTAGTTAATTAAGTTTCTGATAATATCATATTTTTAGTCACTTTTGTTAAATTATATATTACATAGTTAATTATGAAAAGTTTTAATGTTAAATGTTTTAGTCAATAAATATATATGATGAATAATTAAATGTTGAAAATCATTTTTTTTTCAATTGTTAATTAGAATGTAGTAATCTTTTTATGTCCTATATAACTTGCTATTAATTTAAAACTAATCAATGATTGTAATTTATATTTAATAAATTACAATCTGTACACAAAATTCACAATATGGCATGTAACTGGTAGGTACTTTTATTCAGTTTACATATTATATGGTAAAAATATAAATTAAAATTAAAATCAAATTGATGAAAATCCATCAAAAACTATTGTTTAGAAAAAAAAACAAGTTTTAAACTGTATTAGTTATTGACAATCTGTGTCAGAAGTATACTACAGTATTGATTATATATTATATTGTTTTAGATTCTGAGTTTAGCAAAGTGTGAATTAGTTTTACAAAGATGTTAATTTATTTTTTTTATTTTTTTATGTGTATACTTTCTAATAAAGCTTACTATGATTATAAAGTATAGCACCTTTTCTGAAAGAAAATGTTCTCTGGTAGAACTTTAGAGAGGTATTTATTTTAATTCTCCTTAATACTCGAGATAATGAGGAAAACCTGGTTCTTTTGGTTAAAAAATATTAAAATATTAAAAGTTAGGTTGTCTTAGGCAACTGTTTTTATTTATTTCTTATTGGTATTAAGTTTTTATTATTTTAATCTTTTATAAACAATCAGTGTTGTCATGGAAACATGCATTATTGTAATTGGTTTTCTTTAGTATGACATATATATATTGTTGAAAAAGCAACATATTATCAACTGAACTATGCTCAGAATATATTTTTTCTCATTAGCAATGGTTTATCTACATTAAATTCCCGTCTATATACTACCTTCCCAACTTTCCACTTACAACAGTGCTTTGTTTATGATTAAGTGAAATGCACCAATAATATTATATAACATGCATAATATATTAATCATTAAGTATATTAAGATAAGGAAAATAGCTTGAATCACTATTTAATTTCGATTTTAATCATGATATAATAACTTATAGTAATTTAGTAAATTAAGTTATTTTTTTTTTTTATCATTAACTAAGTTAAACCTACGAGATACTAAAATAAAACAAAGTAAGTTGGTCAAGTTATAGTATATAAAAACTGGTTATTATTTGAGTATAGTTTAAACTGAAGTTAAATATTTTAAAGTTATATACAATACTTATAATTACTTATAACCAATTAGTAGGTGGGTACCTACCAATAAAAAAAACAATGTTATTCTATACACAGAAACCGATCCACTTTTGAGTAATAAACTAAACGAAGAAGCATCAATTTTATAATCCCAGGAAATTGTATAGGTATACCTGTTTATTTGTTATTATATTATGTGGTTAAAGGTTTTTGATATGTTACAAATTCTTTGCAATATCAATAACTTTTTTACTATCAAATTATATTTGTTATTATTATTATTATTTTAGATTCTGAGTGGAGCAAAGAATCTTATGGTTTACAAAGATGTTTATTTATTTATTTTTCTGTGAACAAATTTTCTTCTAGAAGACTTGCTCCAACTTTTGATGAAAGCAATGTTTCTAAAAGGAAATTTCATTTGGGAGGTTTAGATATGTCATTTTTCAATTTTCTCCAGTTTTCTCAGCAAATGTAAAAACATACAGAAAAATATTTAGAACATATTTAATTATTTTTGCTATAATATGGCATATGCTCACAAAGAATCATTGTAAACTGAATTCCGCTCAGAATCGTTTTTCTTAAGCAATGTTTTATGTTAGTTTACAGATATACATTAAATTCCTATCTTCCCAATTTCTTACCTACACCAGTGGCTGCACCTTTCCCCATTATCTTACCTTTTTGTTATTATTATTATTATTATTTAATTGAGGTAGTTGTTATTAATGACTGTAGTAGTAGTAATTATTAGCATTGAACAAATATACTATTGGCTATGATAATATCTTTGTATATTAATTGACATAAATTATTATTTAGGTACCTGCTAATTGGGATCTGCCATTTTTATATAATCACAAGCTTTCCTATATCGTTGGAGTACCATAGATGAGTATTGTGATATTGAACACTTCTATATTGTTTTCTTTTTTATGTAAGTGTATATGTAATGGGCAAACATATCCAAGTTTTATACTTGCTTTTGAATTTTTTCCTTCTTTTTAAATAATTTACATAAAAATTCTACCTTGTTTGAAAGAAATGGATTATAATATCTATGACAAATAAAATATATATTCTTTATATTACTGCATTGTTTTTTTTAATGTAACACCATATTTACTACTACTTCTGTCTTCTATTTGTTTTTTCCATTTATTTAACTCAAACTTAATAATAATATGTAAACAATTATTTTAAAATTAATAAGTATGTAGTAATTTAAGTCAAATTAAAACATACACCTAACTGTTTTCTTTTTTTAAAATTTTAAAACTTGCTTTCCATAGTATTAAAGTTGATTAATTCTACTTTCATATTTTGATTATATTATGGTTAATCTGTAAATGGCTTATGAGCAATTTGATTGTTTTTAGCTTTGTACCACTATTATCAAATAGAAATTTTATATGTATAGGCGGTTTAGTATGAGGCATGTGGTCATCTATGTGTTTAACTAATTCTTTTTTAAAATTAAAAGTTTCATTATAATAGTTATATTTATAACATGCTTTGTTCATAACCTATGGTGAAAATTTATCAATCATTTTTCAGTATAATGTTTTTTTTTTTTATGAATGAAAAAAATAAAAAGATAAACTTACCTCCTATAAAATATTAGAATGTTTTTTTTCTATTGTTTGTTTAAATTAGATATTAAAGAAAAATTATTTTGCATATTTCACATTTAATAGACATTTTAAAAATAAGTTAGTTAAAACAATTAACAAAGTGAAAACAGATTCACCAAATATATATATATATATACATATATTGGTGGGGTATATAAAATAAAATACATAAAAGGTTACAAATATCAGACTAATAAATTTCATACTTTATTAGCTAATTGACATTTAGAATCATGTACTTATCTTCCTTTTGAGTCTCTTTAAAATAGGTATATGGCAGTTTGATATATCTTTGTACTAAAATAGAATACAATTATTTTATAACAGTATAAATGTTTTAACATGATAAATAGTTGTACAAAGTATATAATACAGTTTTAAATTGTACATAGTTTGCATAGGTACTTAGTTAAATAGTAACAATTTCAATAAGATAATGGTTGGAAGCTACTATTCTTGTATTATTTTTTTCAGTTCAAAGATTTATTAATGATGTTTGTCTTCATTTTCTCTGCCACTTATATTTCTCTTTAACTCCCAGTATGTTCCTATTCCAGTATTTTCTATCACTTGCTTCAAGAATGGAAGGCTTCTAGGCCTTCCTCTTCCAGGTTTTCCATTTATTATTGTGGTTATCCAAGAACTATTCTTTTTTAAGTGTCCAATCCATGATTTTCTTCTTAGTGTATTCTATATTAATTTTTGGGAATTAATTTTACAGAAATCTTCAACATTTTTTACCTTTTCTATCCATGGGATTTTTAGAATTCTTCTCCAACACCATACTTCAAAAGCTTCTATAATGGTTTTCTCATCCTTCAGTTTAATCTCTGCTGCATATAGAGTTAAGCTCCATACAAAACTTTTTATAAGTGATTTCCTGGTGTCCACACTTAGTCTATTTGAAATAAAAAGAATTCTCTTTTTATAGTAGGTTTGCTTGGCCTGCTATTCTACATACTATATCTGTATGGTTTTTCCCATTTCTTGTGATTTTGTTCCCTAGGTATGTGAAGCTTTGAACTATCTCCAGCAACATTCTACAGAGGTGGCCAAAAGTCGCGCGACAAATTTACAACACAGTTTTTATAAAACTGTAAAGTTTTATGTTAAATATATTGTTTTTTTATAAACCTTGCTGTTGTTGTACTTAAACAAGATAACGAGACCAAAATTGCAATATGACGTAACGGAAAGGATGTGGAGGGAGAAACTGCGATATACAAGACGGTAGGCATTGCGCGACTTTTGGCCACCTTTGTATAAATTTGCTGTTTGCAACATATAATCATTTTTATTTTCTGTTGATTTACATTCATATAGTGTCATAAGCATGTCCTTCATTTTGTTAAGCATGTTAGTTATGTCTTCTTCATTTTCTACTATTACAGCAATATCATAAGTAAAACATAGCATTTACACATGTCTTTCACTTATCTTAACTCCTCCAGTTTTCTTCTTTTACTTCTTTTAAAGTGTCTTCTATATATATATATATATGTATTAAAAAAGCTAAGTAATAGATTGCACCATTGTCTTAACTCCTTTGCAATTTTCATCACACCTGGTTATTACCTCTTTCAACTTTTATAACTGCAATTTCATTGATATACAGATTATGTAGGTTTTAGATTCTGAGTGGAGCGAAGAAGCTTATAGTTTTACAAAGATGTTTATTTTTTAAATTTTTTTTGTTATCTATGAGCAACTTTTCTACCAGAAGACTTGCTCAGATTTTTAAGTATATCACCTTTTCTGAAAGGAAATCGGTGTGGGGAAATACTTTAGGGAGGTATAGTAGAAGTATAATGGATAGAAGGGATTTGGTGAATGTCTATCAGTATTCATAAAGAATTGGAAAAAAATTAATTGATTCACTGTTGGTGTAGGTAATCAGTGTGTTATCTTTTAATAGAAATCATGCTACCACAGGTATACAGCTGTGAAACTTAAAATTTTTATATTACATATATTATAATATGTAGGTACCTGTTAACATAATATATAGTTACTCAATAGTGATAGATAGTTATAATGTATTGTACTGTATTTTGTATATAATATAATGAGGAGTTACTTATTTATTTATTCACACACATACATGAAAGAAGAAGTTATATACACATATTATTTGTTTAACTGTTATTTAGAAGTCCATTATTTCTATATAGGTACTGTCTTTTGTAGATAAGCATGACAATGCTTATCAATGCTGACAATGTATTTAAAGAATCTTATTTTACATAACATGTTTGATAGTGATGCTTCTTGTAATGTATTATCATCTTAAAGTACCCTGATGCTGTAGAAGCAGATTAGAAATTAGGATAAACTATGCCATTGATAGAATGTAAACTTAAAAAGCTGTTTAGGGTGCAACCACTATTATATTACCTTAACTGGTAATTATAGAATTTTAATTTTAGTTGTCTGACTGGGACAAAATGTTCTTGATTATAAAGTATTATTAATAAATTAATGTAGTTAAACTAATAATAGGTACTTAAGTACTTTAGCTACCTTACCTACCTATATTCTATTCAGGATAATAAAATTGAACCTCTGGTACAATTAAAATACACCACATATCACTCCACACTAGACTACTTAAGGGTTTGCACGCCTAAAATAGATTCAATCTTATTTTAAATAGAGTATAGTAAAAATATTAGATAATTAGTTAAAAGATAAATATCATGGTATAATTTATGATTACCTAGTTGGTAATGTCTTAATTAGGAACGTCCTCGAATATTGGGTAAATACACGACACGATACGGCAGTTGTGAACCTAGCTTAATACAGAATAAAATTAACCTTAAGGGCCCAGCTGTTAGGTATCTATAGTATATTATCTGTAATATATACAATCGAAATATTTTATTATTACAGCATTATAATGTTGTAGTATGACCGAGGTCTGAGAAAAATTTTTTATTGGTAAGATAATTTAAAAGGCAGTATAAGATAATCACTTTATTAAAACCTAGCAATACTACTGAGAAAATAGTAACGTGCAATTAGGTAGTTTTTTTTTCTGGTGATTAAATCGAAACTTTTCAAATTTTGACCTGGCAACACTGCGTACGTCTGGCACCGCATTATTGACGCAGTCGTGAACCTTACCCAATTCGCGATCCGTATAGTTATAAAAAAAAAAGATTTATAAATTGACTCAATAATACAATATGGAGTTCAATAAGCCTGAGTGCTTGAAATTAACTGGAAATGTAGCTGAGAACTTTAGGTTATTTAAGGAAGATGTTCAAGTATTCTTCGAAGCAACAGAAACTACGACAAAACCAATGAAGGTACAGGTGGCGCGTTTGTTAAATTTAATCGGGACTGATGGAGTAAAAATCTACAAAACATTCAACGTTCAACCTAGTGAAGAGACTGTAGAAATAATACTTGGAAAATTAGAGGAGTATTGTACGCCCAAACGAAATGAAATAATGGTACATTATACATTTTTCACCAGAAAGCAAATACATAATGAAACTTTTGATAATTTCTACACTGACTTAAGGTACCTGTCAAAAACCTGCAACTTTGGCGAACTAAAGGAGAAAATGTTGAAGATACAAATCGTTCTCGGTCTATATAATAAAAACCTACAATCAAAATTATTAAAAGAAGATCTAACTCTAACTAATATGGTGAATCACTGTCTGACTTTTGAGAAATCAGAAATGAATAGAAAATTAGTGGAGAAGGAACAGGAAAATAATGTAGAATCAATTGAACAGATGCAAAGAAATAAGTTCGAAATAGCAGAAAAAGGGAATCAACGGAGCATGTCAAAGGAAAGGACAATAGACAATTCAAGGCAGGATCAAAAGATGATGGGTAATATGAAAATGCATAAATTTAATTGCTTTAAATATGGTAGGTCACATGGAGTAAATAAATTCCCAGCTTATAATAAGTATTGCAATAGATGATCGAAAAAAAATAATTTTGCTAAAGTTTGTAAAAATAAAAACATGAATGAAAAAAGTGAAGGTAGATAAGTCAATTCAATAGGAAAACACCAGGAGGAGTTGAACAATTAAGCTTAGATGAAGTTGAAGTGGGTATGAATAACACCTGGATGGATAAAGTAAAATTAAATTAGTCAATTTAATTTTACTTTATCCATTAGTCAGTGGTAGATATTAAATTAGATACGGGTGTTCAGTTAAATGTAATGCCTGTAGAATTTTATAAGAAAATGGGTATACCTATGAGAAATAATTAGGTGGTTACAAAAACATTTGGAGGTTTCCATTTAAAGTCTGAAGGAAAAATAAATGTGGAATAAGAAAAAAAGACTGGTAAAAAACAAATAGTATTTGAAGTTTTAAATTACAATGGTATGCCAATTTTGGGCTATGCGGACTGTATAGCTATGAAGTATAAAATTAATGAGATTAATGAAGTACAGGTGGATAATTTAAAAAATGAGTTTATGAAAGAAAATATTGATCTGTTCACAGGTGTGGGAAAGTTTCCAAATAAAGTTAAAATTAAAGAGAATAGTGTCCCAAGATATAGTCACCCAATGCGAATTCCAATGAAACTAATGGATAGATTTAAACAACTATTAGACAAGTTGTGTAAGGAAAAAATCATAGAGAAAAGCGTAGAGCACAGTGAATGTAACACCCACTAGTAATTTTAGAAAAGCCTTATAAGTCATAGTGAATGTGTCTGGACCAAGACATTTAAATAAGTCTATAGTTCGAGAAATGCTTTAAGTTCCAACAATTGAAGAAGGGAGGAATAAATTAATGATTAAAAAATATTTTACAATACTTGACCTTAAAGACGCGGATGTCAAGTAAATAGCCGTCATAAGTTGTCATTAATTGTAACACAATGTTATTTTTAATAAATAAAAAGTGTTTATAAATCTTTAATTAGTTGTTAATTTCAATAAAACAGTTAGTTTTTAAGTCATTACTTTAGGTACTTAGTCAATTTACTTTAGTTAAAAAATGTTTCAAAAGTTTTATTTAAAATGACATAAACAATATTTTACATATTTAATTTTCCATAAACTAATCAAAAATAATTTACAGATTCAAAAACTCTCAAGATTCCTGTCCGATGGTTGGACTTTACTCCATATTCTACAATACTATGTAATAGATTTTTGGCATTTAAAACACCATTGAATACTAAATATGAGGTACCTATGACCCATATATTCAATGTAGATATACTCTTCTCCTCAATGGCTAAAATAAAGGTATAAAATAATATTAAAGTATTTATTTATATTTTATTAAAAAAATAATGGGAACAATTGTATTTGTCATCAAAGAAATTTAGTTTTAATTATTTGTAAATTAATTCACCTAACATAACTTTATAACTACCTCATACCCATAGCTTCTGGTTAGGATCCTAAAAAAGGGTAAAATTGTATTTAGTTAAGTGTTAAAACTGAAGAAAGTAAAATAAATAAGTCCAAATAAAATTAGACTTCTTTGAACATATATTTCTATAATACATACTCTAAAGCCTGTAAATCAATACCACATAGATTCAGAAATTTAATTTTTTTATTCTCTTTGGTAATAATTTAGTGGAAAATATAACCAGATGAAAATCACCAGAACAATGTAGATACTAAAATATTTATTAAAATCAAAATGAACCATATAAATTCTAAAAAAAATCGGGTGACTTAATAAGATTCATGCTAAATATTATATGAATAGTCAAAAAACATTTTTTGATTTTTATTACTTAATGATTGTTTGTAATTTTAACACATAAATACTTCAAATATTATTTTTATTATATTATGTTCAGATTCCTGTATTCTTAAATTGTAAAAATATTATTGAGAGTTATGATAATTATCCCAATGATGTACAGTCTACATCATATTTATTGAAATTATTAAGGTTACTATACTAAAATTTGTATTCAGNTATCAATAAAAATTGTTATTATGTGAAATTAGCTTTAGCAGATCATGAAATACCACCTACCCGCAGAGAAGTCAAATCATTTTTGGATATTTGTTGGGATTTTGTTAATAGAAACCATAACCTGCACATTGGTAAGTTATATTTATATTTAATTTTTGAAAAAATATCTTAATGAATGGGATACATAAGTAATTTAATATTTGGTTTAAATATTGAAAGCAACAACTGTCAGTTAACAAATCATAAATTATTGATACTTTATTTTTGTCTAGGTGTTCATTGTACCCATGGTATAAACCAGACTGGATTCTTAATAGTTGCTTGGTTGATAGAAGTATTACATTATAATGTAAATCATGCCTTGCAAGAATTTGCAACAGCTAGGTAAAAGATAAATTTACCATTATGAACATATAAGATGATGAAATAAATTATATTGTATACACTTTTATAGACCTCCAGGAATTTTCAAACAGACATACATAGATGAATTATATCATAGGTATACATTTAGAAGAACCTACAACACCAAATAAGTTTAAACTTTCAAGTACTACAATTCAATAATATACATATTTTTTTTTTATATTATAATTAAAGCATTTTCTATGATATTTATATTAAAATCATTTTTTCTTATTTACACATTGTTTGATACAATTATTATCAATTGATGGAATTTCTATCAAACAATAATTTCTTTTCAAATAATCAATTTGGATTTATTACAGATAAATCAACCAAAGATGTTTATTTTCTAGCAAATAATTATATTGGAGTCATTAGATAAAAATTAAAAAGTTATTGAAATTTTTCTAGAAATCAAAAAACCATTCATTATTATTAAAGAAACCTAAAAATTCTAGAATAAGAGGGTTAGCAAAAGATCTTTTCAAATTTTATCTAAACAACAAAACTCAAATAGTTAAAATAAATAATGGACATAGTAAGATTCTTTTTCGCTCAGTACCTCAAGAAACTGTTTTAGGGCCATTACTATTTATAATTTATATTAATGGATTTTTAAATTTAAATATAAGATTAAAAATAATTTGTTTTGCAGATGACACTTTAGTGTTATTAAAATAAAATCAGATGAAGTGTTATTCAAATTAGTTAATACATCAATTAAATTAATAAAGGCATATAGTATGATAATAATTGCATGGCAGTAAACTTAAATAAGTCTAATTTTCTAAAATTTAATATTTATAATAATAATATGAATTGTAATACAAATTACAATTATTTTTTCATAGTGTTCATTGTGAACAAATGGTTGACTGTAACTGTGTTGAATTGAGGGAACTAAAAAAAAAAATAAAATACTCAGGATTGGTAATTGACAATAAATTAAATTGGAAATACAATATTGAACATTCAACTAACTTAGTAAAAAAATGTTTAGTATATTTAAACAAATTTGACTATTGGATCCTAAAGTTTTAAGAATAGTTTATTATTCCTTAGTAAATTCTATTATTTCTTATGGTATAAGTTTATGAGGTGGTATTTTTAAAAATTTGACCTTTAAATATTGGTATAAATTTACTGAGTAGTATGAATATTAATATTGATTCATTTCCAACATTAATTAAATTTAAGCTGTACATTAAAAATTAAAATTAAATTTTGCAAAATTTGTTAGTATTAAGTATTTAGTATTAATAAACTCCTATTTAAAACTCATTATCATATTGTTTATCGGCCTATTATTAATTTATATTTAATTTTTGTATTCCATGTTGTAATTTATGTAATCATGTAATATGCAACACAAAAACCTATCTCTCTCACCTTCACATTAAGAGTGCTTTAAGTTCCTTGGCTTCGTTAGCCATATTTATCCATTTACTCTTCCCACTGAAATCTTTATACTTCTTATCTTATATCTTTATATCTCTAATTCGCCCCATCTTGGAGTATGGTTCTGTTTTATTAGACCCATATTCCTCTGCCTCCAGTGAAATGATCGAGCTAGTCCAGAGATGGTTCCTCCGAATTGTTGCACATAACCTCAAGATCCCTTATTCCCCACATGAATATTCACAGGTCTTGCTTGTGCTGGCCCTCCTTTTCCTCTCTGATTGTAGGCATCAGGCAAATCTTTATTTCCTATCTAAACTCTTATCCAACCCAAATTGACTCTCCTTCCTTACTTCATGTCCCAATGGTTGGCCTCCCCCATTCTGCCAACACACTGACTTTTTCTTTAATTTGTAATTACTTTATATTAATCTGTTCTATGTTATATTTATGTCTTCTTTGTAATTGGACTAGCTCCATTTGTATAATAATAAAAATAAAATAAGTATGTACCTACACATTACGCGAACCTATATATTTAATTCCGATATACCTAATTCCGTAATTATGTCATAGTATTAATTAATTATATCTATTATCTACTATTATGAAAAAAAATCATGTATTATAGAGTTAATACTAAATATATATTATAATAAATACTAAATTAAATAATATTTTGACTTAATTATCATAAGTTTAACATAGATATTGTGCTAAATATAGCAATAGCCATGATTCGTCAAACTATAAATTATTATAGTATAAAAAAAAATTTATAAAATATACACATAATATGCACTTGTATGAATGCGTAATTTTACGAGCTATACAATTTTTAATGGGTCGAAGTAATGTATATATTTTCTAAAATGCGCAAAAAACATGAATAATTCCTATACTAAAAGGGTTAAAGTAGCAACCCTAGCGTACTCAATACAGCCTGTGGCCGTTTAATCGTAAGACTCATTTCGGGACGTTATCAGAAGTGGATTTTGGTCTTCATACCATGTACTCCTCTATACTCAGTTGCTGACCACTGGAAGGGAAGTGATCAATCAAGCTTTATCAGCAATCTGATATTTTGTAGATGGAATGTTGTTTAACCAGATAGATTTGATAAACACTACGTGCCAAAATTAAAATTAATTTATTAACCTATATTTGATAAAAAAAAAAAATATGTTATATTAAAATTTATTATGTCTAATGCGCTAATGTGTTTCTAAATCCCAATTTATAAAATATTAGATGCTTACTCGATTTGTATATCATTTAATTCTATAAAACAGTATATGTAAGAGAGAGAACTATAAAAATCCGATTGAAAATCTGAGCTTCCAGAAACATAAAAAGTATCTCCTGTAAAGCGCTCAAGATGCTTAGGGTCATTAAACGAATGACTCTCAAATATAAACTTTCTTAATTCCTAAAATCCCCATATTGCTCCATCGACTTTAAAAATAATATCATATATCAATACATATTAGATAATAAATAATAACCAAATAATTTATATTTCTTATATATAAGAATATATATAAGATATATATATCTATGTCTAATAATAATTAATTTTAATTAATCTCTACTATTAAAATAAATTATTTCTCTATTCTATGTAAAACGGCCAATTTGTATAATTTTTTTTCTATGTAATTCCATCATTTAATTTTTTTATATTCAGTCGCGTTTTACATTTTGACTATATTATACCTGATGATGAAGTTTTAATTCGAAACCAGTTGTGTAATACGCTTATCATAACACAATAGGTGACACATGTATTCATTTATTTATTATTATTTTTATGTATACATTTTTTATTTATATATTTATTTATTTTTAATTTAAATGAACTAAAAAAATAAAAAGTTGTTAACTGAAGTAAGAGCGGGGTGGAAACACCGAGGCACCGAAGCTATTAGCAAAGTTGCGCAATTTTGAAAGAAATGATTTCAAAAAATTTTAAGAATGGATGATCATTCGCTCTGTGACTTGTCCGCAACACACGTATCAGTTATTCATGCACACAGTTTCTTTTATTTCTCAAGTCTAACCTAACCAAATTAATTGTGAATGGTATCAAAAAATCCGGATATCGGCCTGTGTATCCCACTACCGTCATCGCCACGGAATTCAACTTCTCAAGCCCAAATCATCCAAAAATTGGTAATTATAATTGCTAAGACGACCCAAAAAAGTATATTTTCAACAACAAATAGATACTCCTGCCTTGTTGTTGAGAACAACCCAGAGATAGCGTTCCCATCTCAGAATCCATCAAATGAAGAATTAGACGATATTACCAAACCCGCCAAACTAACACCATCTCCACCACCATTTATGGTTCAAGGGATGCTTGATTTTGTTGTGCTTCGCAATGATTTTCTCAAACTGCTCGGTGCAGAAATTTCTTATTCAAATCATCCACTAATGATTTAAAAATCCTCACTAAGAATTCCGACTCTTATAGAGCTGTCATAAAGTATTTAAATGAAAATAAAGCCGAATATCACACCTATCAACAACGCGAGAACAAAGCTTTTCGTGTTGTTGTACGTAATATTCAAATTTTAACCACAATCCTAAGAAACATTACTCATTCCATAGAAAATCTAGCAGATCTAGCATGTGACCACAGTCCAGTTCTTCTCAATCTGAATTGTGAGATTAACTACAATACTCCCCGTCCTTCCTTAGGGACAGGTCCAGTCAATTGGAGTTCCTTTTCAAAAAATCTAGAAAATGCCACTAACCTAAAAATCTCACACAAATCAACCGACCAAATCGACGAAGCAGTGCAAAATCTAACTACCTCAATTCAAACCGCCGTTTATAAAGCATCGCATGTCACAAATATACCTGATAACTCAAAATGTAATATCCTTCCTCCTCAAATCCAAAAATTAATAATAAAAAAATGTTCACTCGTTGTGGCAAAGATCCAACCTGCCTTCTGACAAACGACTATTAAACAATCTATCAAATTTAATCAAAAAACTCATTATAAAACATAAATCCAACTTTTTCCAAGAAAAATTTTAATCACTAAATTCTAATGACGGTTCTCTATGGAGAACTACCAAAAATATTCTTAAAATCAAAGAACAAACTACACCGCTCACTGGTCCAAATGGAGAGCTAGCGATCTCTGAAAAAGATAAAGCGGAACTTTTTGAAACCCATCTCTCAAATATATTTACTCCACATTCTAATGTTAATCCTGAATCTGCACACTTCGACAACATTGCCAGATTTCTTGGTAGTCCTTTACCAATGTCTTTTCTAGCAAAACACACAACCCCAAATGAAATCAAACATTTAATTAGCAAACAAAAGCTAGACAATCAGATAAATATGAATCAAACCCAATATTAAATGGAGATGATATTTTTAATAATCCATTTTCAAGTGTAACTTTTGTGGTTTTATTTAGACTTTTTTCTAGGTAACTATTAAATATTTAATATTTAAATTATATACAAAAAACATTACATTTTAAAGAGAAAAAAGAACCTACAGAAATAGAGATTAATAAAACAATTAATCTTGAAAAAAAATTGCGAAAAATATATAGAAATGAAGCAGAGAAAAAACTAAATGATGAAATAGAAAAACAAAAAGCATTTGAACCTATTACCAAGGAATTAAAAAATGTTGAAGAAGCTATCAAAAAAACCGATGATGATATTAAATCATTTTTAGTTCCTGTGAAACCGTTAACACAAAAATCAAATTTTATTACCAAACAACAAAACATGGTTCGAGATAGACTTAGAAACAGAAATTAAAAATTCAATTATTAAAAACAAAATAGGAGTTATTGCAGCTCATTATTTACACAAATTATCAGATAATGAATTTGGGATTTTTCATAATCATGAAACAAATATGCATATGATAGGTAAAAATGAGATTCATATTAAAGATAACGATATTATTTTAAATGAACAAACTTACAAAGGAACACAAGGATTATGGAGATTATTAACATATAATAAAAATATAGATAAATTATCATATTCTGATGATTATATTAAGAATTATGAAAAGATATTAATAGAAACAGGCTCATTATATCATAATAATAATACAAATCCAAAAAACGTAAAATTAAGTAAAGGAGATAAATATATGAATCTGATCCGTCCTATTTGGAATAAAATTAGTGAAAATGAAAAATTTGCATGAAGGATCTGGTTTAATAAATTATACAGAAAACCCAATTCAATATACATACATTGATAATTTAAACGAATTGTTAAACAATTTATATTTTATTGCTGCAGAAGAAGGAGCTGGTAATAATAATTTCCATTATGAAAATTAAATCGGAGCATAATAAAAAAATAGATGTAACAATTCAACTACCAAATAACTAAATTGGAAGAGGAAATCAAAAGTTTAATTTAACCAAAACACAAATAATAAAATAAACAAATCTAAGAAAGAAAAAAAAGGATCGAGGTTAGAATTGAAATATGAACAAATTAAACAAGGTGGATTTCTTCCACTTCTTTTTGCTGGAATAGGAGCTGCAAGTGCATTAGCTGGGGGAATAAGTTCGATTGCAAATACTATTATTGAAACAAAACATAAGATAGCAGTGGAAAAAGAACAAGAAAGACAGAATAAAGAAATGGAAAAAATTGTCAATAATGTTAAAACTCTACAAGTTGTATGTGGAATTAAAAAGAAGAAAAGATATTGTAATACCTTCTGTGATAAAAAGAAGAAAATTGGTCCAATTTCGATATAATGGAAGCTGGTAAAAATATTAAAAATTTTCGAGGATGTTTTATGAGAGATGAATTACCAATAGGAACTTTAACGAATGAATGTGGAATATTCAATTTAAATAATTCTGATCAAGAAGAATCACATTAGATTACATGGATAAAATATGAAAATTTTAAAATTTATTTTGATTCTTATGGTAATGCTAATCCACCAAAATTATAAGTTAAAATATTTAGGAGAAAATAATCTTAACATAACATCTAGAAGGTTTCAAAACTATAACGATCCGCCTATTTGTGAATATTTGTGTTTGGATTTTATTAAAAATTATAACAAATATACCTAAATTATATATCTAAATCTTTTTTTATTTTATTTTTTATCTTTTCTATAATAAATGAAAAGTATTTTTAATAAATATGATGATCATATTATTCGATCACAATATAAAACATATGAAGCGACATCAAAAACAAATTTTAACAGAGATGGCGGTGATATAACATTTGAAATAGAAGGTTCTGATAGTTTTCTCAATATTAAACATACAAAATATAATATTAGTGGAAAATACTTAAAAAATAACAATACTGAATATGAAGCTAATAGCAATGTTCAATTAGATGATANAAATGGAACATGAATAGATCAAATTGAAAACGTTGGTAGATCAAGCATAATTAAAGGATGTGTTAGTTATTCTTTAGATGAAAATGTTAAAAATTAGAAATAATATTTGTAACAGTATTCATTAATGACTATAAGACTACATTTAGTAATACTTGTGGCAACGTATGCGGAAAAATATGAATAAAAATAGAAATTACAAATTATACACTTATATATACAGAGTGTAAAACTAAGAACTGACACATGATATAACTGTATTTTTCGTTAACTTTTGTAAAATTCGGATTCCGGACATTTCCTAAATCCGGACGTATGGTAACCCTGAACCCTGACTTTTACTTTTGAGTAAAAGGTCTATGAATTATAAGTATAATATTAAAGTCTTGATAAGGAATAATCTCGAATTGTTTGGTAATCGTGGGTTTTACCCAATGTTGCTTTAATCAATGAACATAAAAATGAAAGTGAATGTCTGAATCACAAATATACACAATTTCATTTCTTTTAAGTGTCGGTTGTCGCGCTCATCATTTATTATGTTTATATATAATTTCTACATGCTAAACATATAATTTTTTATATTTTAATTCACATTTTTTAATTTGTTATTCTATTTATTATGTTTAAGAACACAGGGATCCTGTTAATGAATAAATTATTACAATTCATGATCTACAAAAAATTCAAATTAAATACTTATTGCTTGTGAGTTCACATAATATATTTTAGAAAGTAGCTTTATGAAACTTTCATTATGTTCATCTCCCTACCATCATTTATTTTCATACGAGTTTTTAGTTTTAATTATTAACCATAAGTTATTGTGGGCATCAATTTCATTTTATAATTTTCATTTCAAATGTACTAACTTGAATAACTTGTATTTTTATATTGTTGTTATTTTTTTTTCCTGATCCCAATTCATTGTACACAAAAAAAAATTAACTTTTTCAGGATTTAATTCAAATTAGAATTTGTAAGAATTGACATATTTTATGTATTGATGATACTAATATTTGAACATTTATGAATAACGGATCTTCAAATTGAATAATTATCTCTAGCGAGTTAATTTTAAAAGCTGGATCTAACGTTTCAAATAGATGATTCTTTATAAAAACATCAATCATCTTATCAATGATGTGTGCCTATCTAAATCATACTTTGCCCAATCAAGATCAAAATGTGAGCTTTTAATTATTATGAAACAAAATTAAGAGATATATATGATTGAAATGTTTAATACAAATATACTAAATCCATCTGTTATAAATTAATTATTAATTATCATTTACACTTTTATCAGTTAGGTATTACATATTGTGATCTTAAAAGAAAAGTCATTGCTTTAATGCTTTTATTTGACTTGCTTAATGGAAATATTGATTGCCCAGAGTTACTTTTAATGGTTGGGTTTCACACTAGTCATACCTACTTCATGGTTAATAAATATTTTTGTGTTTCATTTTTTACCAATAATTATAGCTCAGCATCATATTTTCCTCAATTGCTAATGTAAATGTATATAACACGTTAACTAATTGTAATGTCATCTTTATTCTATTTATTTATATTTATAGATTATTATTTCATTAATTGTATTTTTAATTACTTGTGCTATTTATGATTGTCACTTTTCTTTGGTTAAAGGGGTTTTCACCCATATAGAAGAATAAAAATAAATAAATACTATTAAAGTAAACTATTGTTTAAAAACAGAAAAACAGAGCTGATATTAGATAGGGACAGTTTGTTGCAAGTAGAAAGTTAGGAAGGTAGGATGTATAAAGTTATTTAATTTATATCTGTAAGCAACAATAAACCAGTGTTAACAAAAAACATTTTTTTTTTTTTTTACCACTGATGATGAAGTGTAACAATTGTCATACATTTCTTTTTAGTCGAACAATTTTATCCAATTTTATAATATATATAATATTATATAATTTTGTATAGGTATGTGAAATTTTAATGTTATAATACTCTGCTTGTATTCAAATATGACATGCATATTTGATAAAAGAAGTATCCCATTGATGACACTTTTAACTACTCGTATTTTAATAAAAGATGTCATATGATAATGGGAATGGGTGCAGCCACTGTTATAGATAATTTAATGTATACCTGTAAGCAATGATAAATCGATTACGAAAATAACGATTCTGAACAGAGTCAGTTGATAGTGATGCTTTGTCAAATTCATATATATTTCATATTGTAATAAAAAATAATTATATAGGCTTTATGTATTTTCTTTAATAATATTTGTTTAACTGATATTTCAAGTTTTTCTACAGTTTCCATGATTTATTCTGGTTTTTAAAATTTGATGAAAATACTTAAGAAAATTGAAAAATGACCTATATAAAAATAACAAATCCTAATAAATCAAATACATCCCTCACTATACTCCTAGTCATTATTTAGTAATTAAAATTAGAAAGTAATTTAAAATCTGTATTTTAATTATTTCTAATTTTATTTTATTTTTAGAAAAATTTTAGACATTCAAGCACACAATAATTAATTTTCCATGGTAAAAAACTACATTTTTAAGAGCATCAGATTAGTTCTTTTTTCTTATTAAAGGAGCCTACCAAATTTATTGCAATCAAGTTTAACAACCCTTGTGGTAATGTAAAAATAATATATTAATATAATAAAAATAATTTATAATAATAAATATTTGGAGTATACATACGATATATCAGATATGTTTAGTGTATTTAACATTTAATGCATGTGTATAATCTACATAACAAGCCCAGGTGTTTTATTTTATTTCAAGAAAACACCAAAAATAAATTGTATGGGTAAATAATGTTATAATGTTCCAAAAATATATAGTGTATTATCACTAACAAAAAATTTAAAAAAAATATTTTTTGATGGGGAGATAATATGCCATTAGTTTAACTTTTGTAATGGAAAGAAGCTGGGGACACAAAAATATAGATTGTCACTTTTCACGTTAAGTATTTATTTGTTTTAATAAGTTATTAATGTAACTGCCATTGCCAAGTTTAATATATAAATAAATAATTAAAATATATTTCAATTATTTCTATAGATACTTTTACTGTTACATAAATTATTTATGTATTTATATTAATGGCTATACAATTTATTCTAATTATATACATCTTGTATGGAAAATATACGAAATATATTACTAAAATATTACGTTTTTTTTCCTTTGCACAACTTTTCAATCAGCAATTTTACTTCAACTTTTAATGATAGCAATGTTTCTAAATGGAAATTTTACTAAGAAGGTACTTTAGAGAGGTAATTTTTCGTTTTTCTCAGTTTTCCCAGCAAATGTGAAAAACCGAGATAAAACATGGGAAAACATAGGAAAATTGGGAAAATCGGTACAATATTAAACAAATATCATTAAAGAAAATATATAAAGCCTTTTTAATTGTTTTACTATAAAATGGCATACATATTCTTGACAATGTATCAACTGAACTCTGCTCTGAATCATTTGTTCGTAAGCAATGGTTTACTGTTAATTACAGGTGTACATTAAATTATCTATAACAGTGGCTGCACCTGTCCTCATTATTCTAGCAAGTTTTTTTGTTATTCATGTTATCATTATTTTAATTATTATTTATTTAATGTGAAAGTAATAAATTTAATTTTTAAATTTGTAACGTCCGAAAATGACCATTTTCCGTTATCGTAGGACAAACGTACATACAATCAATATAGTCGACCGGATAATTTATTACGTCCGCGGCGACGAATATGTTATGTCATCGTGATCAATAATCCTCCCCCCGCGAAAAGGTCTATGCGATCGTAATCTTTCATAATTTACCATAATATTGTGGCGGGTTCCGTGCCACATTTCTTCTTCCCGCTGCGCGGCGTTCAGCGGTCATCGTCCACAGCTCCGCTCGCTCGCTCCGCACCGACACCGTACGCGAAGCATTGTTTCCGACTCCGAATAGTTATTATGTATAAAGGTCTATTTACACATAACCGTTCCGTGTCCGATCAGTATCCGTTGTCCGTGCCCGTTCAGTGCATTTTTTCGTCGGCATTGGTACACATGATTTCAGATTTTGGTGTATAAGTTTTTGAAAAAACAACTTTTTAAACTTAAAACTTTTTTTAAATTTTACAAATACGTCTCGCGAGTAGGTAAGAACAAACCGATCGAGATGTCAGTTGTCACTGACGGCTGTTTACATTGCTCCGTATTTTCCATATCCGTAACAGTGAAATC